CACACATGATAAATCCATTGTCCGGACATAATAAAAGATATTCCTGTAACCGTAGTTCATTTATACCGTTTTATAAATACATAGCATATTTATATTGTATTTTTGCACGTACATCCCTATTCTGATAACCTCTATTACAGAACATCTCTGTAGGTTTACGCCCATTGGAGTAGCCAGTGTCATATGTGGTAAGATCATCACACTGGCCCAACTCACGACCACCCTGGTCCAGCTCAGCTTATTCATCGCAACGACGGTCGGTGGTTTCCTATTCTATCAGCTGATAGTGATACAAGTCATTTATTTCGTAATCGTGAAGAAGTCTCCTTGGCCGTACTACGTGTCATTGGGACCCGCTCTAGCAACTGCCTTTGCTACTGCTTCCAAGTAAGACATGTTTCCGTTGATGGTCATCAAAGACTAAAAAGTTTGACTAATATAACAAATCAAAATTTATATATATATATATATATATATATATGTATTATATTAATTTTAACATCAATAAATAACTATATCATCCCATAAAATGCAAAAAAATATAAATATTGAAGTTTAAAATTCTTGGAATTTAAAGAATAATATTAATTGCAGTATTCGTTTCTGAAAAATATAACTGGCTCTGTAATATTTTACACCTACTTTTACACTTAAGTGTTAAAGCTGTACTATAAGCATAGGCGCAATTTGGGTTAGATTTATGGGGGTGCTAGATTTAAGTTGACCAAAGTGATAAATTTGTCTCTTAATAATGCCTATGAAATAAAATCATAAGTTATAACCAATACAAATTTGGGGGTGCTATGCACCCCCAAGTGCCCCCCAAATTGCGCCTATGACTATAAGCTTTGTATCTGATATTATATAAGCCAAAGTATCATCAAACACAACGTGAATTAATTAAATAATACTCTCGTAACTTACAATCGTAGGTATAGAATTTTAAAAATCACAATATGTTTTTATAAATACGCGTACACGCACCGAAAATTCTCAAATAGATAAATTTAGATGAAAACAATATGGGATAAAATAATAATAAGGTAAGTAGGTAAAGTTTGAATTTAACTTTTTTAATAATCTTTTCTGTATAGTAAGTCTTAGAAAAAATGTTGACTTTCCCGAATTTTTATGTAATTCTATAGGTAAGTTGTAAATTAGCTAGTGCATATTGCAATACTAAGACAAAATACGTATATAACCTTAAAATTGCATAAAATGTAAAGTGTTTAAATACACACAAATATTCATTAAAATGATTCATATTTTCAATCACGAAATTGCTAACTTTTATCATGAAACTGCTAACTTAGCTTACTTGGCGTTTATACTCTAAAGTCTAAATACGATGTCAATATCAATATTAACCAATAAAAACATGCAAATATTACTCGTATTGGAGTTCTTAATTATATTATACTGTATAAATATTTCAAACAATTAAAGGAACATTTGAGCAATAAAAAAAAATACGTCATACGAATTTAACACGCTTTATTTGTGAACAATAGTATCATAGTAATATTTTTTTTTTTTTAATAATTAATAAATTATAATATTGATCTTTCGTGATTATTATAATCAACAATAATGACGCATGAATTAATTGTGAAAACTATGAACTTTAAAAATTCATAAATCATAATGTATCTGTACAATTCAAATATTTTACCTACGTGTATTATATTAATACGTATAATATATTATAATCTCAATTTTAATTAATTTATAATTTGACGTTTTATCTTAGGTCAGCGTCTCTTCCAATAACATTCAAAGTATTGGACGAAAAATTAAAGATGAATCCGAAAATCACTAAATTTGTCCTTCCCATTGGTACGATCAACATGGACGGTTCAGCTCTGTACCTGAGTGTAGCACTATTGTTCTTGGCGCAAATCAATAATTTACAACTAGGCATTGGAGAAATTTTTACTATCGGGTATGATATTAAAGGTTTCTACAATACATATTATGTATAATACAACCTTACATAACAATATAACGTATCGAATTACAAGTTATTCGATACTGACGATTTTGTTTTTTTAACTTTTTATCATAAACCGTTCAATAATACGACGTCACATAAGTACATTGTTTAACAGTAAACAATACAATGAGAACATTTTAGAAAAAAAAAATCAATAGTTCAAAAACTAGTAGGTGATAAACGTACATCGTAATATTTTTATCCTCTGTTCTCTATAGACTATAAATACGTATATTCAATAATATTGTATATTATTATACAAGATTAAGATTATTTGTTGAGAAATAATAAAGCCATTATTTACTATTTAGTGAGTGTAATATGAATTTTTATTTAGACTTAAGCACCAGTATTGTCATATACAGAGCAATTCACCAAATATACTTACCCTACTTTTTTCCTATATTTTTATTTAAATTCTGATTTTAGAATTGTTGATTACTCGTAATAATTATACAAAAAGAACATATTTTTAATACCATTTAAGTAGCGTCATGTAAACTACTGCAGCAATAAAACTTTATTTTTCATTTGAGAATTACTATTTTTTTTTACTGTAAATTATTTTTTTGTTTTTTTAGAAATGTTGAAATATAAAATCAAAAAAATTTGATCAAATAGTGCTTGAGATATCAATTTTCTAATTTAAAGATAATAGGTTTAGAAGATATGAAATAATTTACCTACCTACTTATAAATTATTTAAAAAATATATGTACCTACCTATGCTTATTTAAAAAATATTACCTCTAAGTACGTTAGTACTAATAGTACTTAGGAATTCCAAAAATCAGAATTTAAATAAATGTGTAACCATTAAAGATTAAAAATAGGTATTTGGACACTTGGTGAATTATCTGTATATACTCGTATGGAAGTATTTTTACATCAAGCACAAAATTAGCATATGAAATCGTATCCTACTGTTAATTAATTGCATCAGAAAATTTGTTTAATTTTCGTATCTGTAATACCCACTTACAGCCCAATTTTTATATAAATATGAACGCTAAACAAATTATAGTTTGATTACAATAACAAATATTATTTAAATAGTCCATTCAGATCTACACACTACCTGTTGCAAACGAGGTGCACCAAAAATAATGTTTAATAGTGACAAACTACGCAATATCCTTTTTTTTTTTTACAAAAACCTGCTGATAAAAAAATGTGCCCAAGGAACATGGCGATTTTGATGACAACCAAAAAAATTCATATATTATATGCATGCCTCTCACAAATCAGTAATTTATTTTTTTGGTAACATTCGACTACAGGTTGGCTTGCACAGCGGCAAGTATGTCTTCGGCGGCTATTCCGTCGGCGGCCATCGTCTTGGTTGTAATGCTGTGCAGCGTGATAAACTTACCCACTGAAGACGTATCTCTGCTGTTTGCCGTCGATTGGCTAGTGTAAGTACCCTATTTAGGATACATATAAGACGTATGTGCATTATACATTGACATATAAATGTATAATACACACGCGTTTCAGAAATTACTTATTCTTGTTCAAAATATTAATTATATTTTTAAAATATATATATATATATATCGATAAACAGAGACAGGTTCAGAACTATGAACAATCTGATTGGAGACTGTTACACGGTAGCCATTGTTCAACATCTATCCAAAGAGGAATTAGAACAGGTAAAAGCATAATAATAATTAATATACAATATACATATTATAATAAGCTATACAATACAATATTACAATAATAACTGTCCATCGAATTTGGTTTCGGAATTATAATTTTCAAGCTTTTTTTAATTCGCCAATTCAAAGAGATACGAACCTAAATTCCCCTTAATTAAACCACTTCTGTGTTGTTTATAAAGTTTAAGAAATATGAACTGAAGTATATTCATTATTTTTAAGATTAATCATAGTGTAGTACCTCCGAAATAATATTATACCTGCTGTAAAATAGGTGTCTAGAGACTAGAAGAGATGCTGTAACGGATATATTTTGTTTAATAATTTAATAAATTTTATCCTTAAATGCTTATAAAAAAAATCATGCATTTTTAAACTGCTATTATAACGATGTGTGGGAGAAACCTTGTATTCAATTTTCAAGCTTTTTGACCCAACGATAAATTTTATCGCACATAGTCTCCCACCCCCTAGATACGTCTATTTGTTTAATAAGTTTATTCATAGACCTTAAAGGTAAACTAAATAAATAGATCTAAAAATATCCTTATATTTATAGGTATGATACGTAGAACAAAGATTGTGTTAGGGTATAATATAGGTGAATTCACATAAATTATAGAATCCAACTATATAATCATATAAGCATCCCATTTCAGAAATTCATAACGATTTATAATTCATTGCATATTATATACAAGTATTCTCATTTCCTATTATACTTATATAATATTATGACTAATATAGGTAGGTACACCGATTACTGTATACTATTTACATCGCTTACATCTATTACCTATACTTGGCTGTTTGCTAACTAGCTAACCAGGAAAACGGTGAAAATATCACAATACAAAAACGAGGTTTTGTATGACACGATGCTGCAGTATTATTATAATTCGTAACCTCTTGGTATAACGTCATTACTAAAGTATAAATAGTATCAGTATTATTAAGCCATAAATTAAAACAAAAAAATTAAATTAATATAAGTTATATACCTACATTTTCTAGTTCATCAAAAATATAATTAAAGCAAAATAATTTAACGTTTACCAATCACTGTTACAATCATATACAATCGAGTTTGGAGTGGCTCTCAACAAAATATTTTCACGAACGCCCTTGGTCGGCTTGAATAATCGATTAGTAATACACTCCGATATTAAAGTATAAATGCTTACAGTATTACACAATTAATACGAATAAATATATTTAGATACTATTATTGTGTATAATATGATGATTATTATGATCTTTGTAGTGTAGAAAGTAAAATCGAAATTCGATAGTAGTATTTATAGGAATATCTATAACTTTACAACTGTTTGTAAGAAATAGTTAGTAACCTAACGCCATACGCCCTTGCATCTAATAATATAAAGAATACTGAACGATGGTCAGCCATAGCTAAACCGCTAATGTGTCATATTAAAATGTTCAATAATAAATTAAATATTTTGTTTCCACAGTTATTTCCGTATTTTAAGTTTGACTAAATTATGTATGTACTAACTACTAGGTATGCTTATTTTATTTACAATATATATAACTACCCATGTGAATTTTTTAAGTATGTTCATTGTTCATCCATTATCAAACCTTATTTAAAAAAATTAGTTTTGACACTTAACTACTTGCTTTTTATGTTTAAATTATCCATATGTATATTAAAATTCTGATTTTTAGAATTTTTAAATCTAGTTAAAGCTAATATTTTGAGTATTAAAAGTATATTTAAGGAGTATCTTGTGGTAATACCAGCATTTTTTTTTAATGAAAACCTATACTTCATACATGCCTTAAAGCAAATTCTGAATCATATGGCTGTACTAAACATTTTTATGTATAAATATCTATTGTAATCGAAATTTGAACGAAAAGTATCTGAATTATTCTAGCTTGAATACCAAATAGCCAAATAAGTATACTAAGTTAATTAAATGATATTTTTTTTAATAGATACGACCACAGTAATTATAATCAAGTAGGTGTGTCAAATAAAATATGTTTTAATAATCACTATACTTAATCAAGTATACTCAGACAATTTCGAAATTTTTAATATTACAAAATTATTATTAATGACGAATCAATTGATTCTGATATTCAGGTAGATACCGGGTATATTATTTTATAAATAAAATGCATTTTATAACTTACTCATAAACTTTTTCTCTACGTAGTACGTTTCCAAGTATACTAAACGAATTTTCAATAGCCTTTAACTGATACATGATTGAAATAAACATTTCAATTAGTAGTAAATCAAAATTCAATGTAGCATGAGCCCAAAAAATCCATTATATGAATTTATATATTGTAAAACATTATGAAGTTGTCATTGTATAATTTATCGGTCGCCGAATGTATTAAATTCATCATGCGGTAACGGTGAATCACATTTCCCGCCTCTCATATTGATTAAGAGTTCTTCAGTGTTCTTCACAAGTCACGACGAACGATGTAAACGTACAAAATATAACACCTGTAATATACAAACCTATTAAAAGTGTTGAAAACCATTTCAATTTATTTTGATCAATTTCAAGTATACATCTGCTGTGATAATGTTGATATAAAAAACATTCGACGACCATTGAGTTTATCTWTACAATTCAATAACGTATCTGTATTATTAATTAATTATGAAACAAAGTTTAAATATTGGAACTAATATTAAAATATCTCATTTCCTCATATATGTCGCTCAGGAAATAAGAAGTATTAATTATAATATACGCGAATACAGTGAGTTATGAATTGTAACTAAACGTTTAGAAATATTCTAACCAAACAACTTTGAATCTCATGGGTTCAAATGTTTAATATTTGGAAGAGTCCAAAATTTTTCAATTATTTTGTATCCACCAATAATTTGGGCTAGTTTTCCAATGCCATTGTTAATGTCATGTCAAAACCTAATATTAAACAATAATATTATTAGTATAGTTAATGTAACTTTAAGACTTAAGTATTTAATTTTAATATAAATTGTATTATAGTTTGATTCGTGAAAGTTCTTGTCAGAAAACAAAATAATATACAAACGTATTTTTATTTTAATAATTCATTTATAATTGATGACAAGTGATAACTTTTTATATGAGTATGATCAAAATCCTATGACCATTTTTAATGTATATTAGAAATAAAGTGAATACCCCCTGAAATTCCTACACAAAATACCAAATATAATGATATTATAACAGCTATTAATATTTTTGCTTATTGTAAAGTTGCAATGTAATAACGACTACGTCAGTGACGTGTAACATAGGGTTCAAGTATTGCTTAGACAACACCTTAAATTGATAGAAAGAAAATACAACATTTTATTGGTATAGGTATAACAATGGTATAACAATATTATGTAAGGTATATCACCTTAAATTACTATTTAATTATTTGAGTTTTAACAGTTTTTTTTTTAAATGTATTCATCGTATGCCACTGGTTTACGTTATACCGACCATTCAATTATCAAATACTTCGTTAAACTCGTAGTATACCAAAGCCTGCAAATATTATAATAATAATGTATGGTATAAATTTGATTGGAAATAATGTCAATTTTTTATTATGTATAGATTTCTTAAAAATTCATGTAAGTAAGCTAGTTACAATATATTATTATTTTTATTTTATTTTCGTTAAACAAGTGTTAAATTTAATTTCATAAATATAATGCTACTGAACAGTTAATGGTTATATACTAAAAAAATAAATAGTTTGAATATTATTGTTAATTATACTTACTGGATAAATTATGATCTATAGTGAATAATAATTACTAGCAAAATAATTTTATTAAAACCGCTCAAGAAGTATCAATTTCTAAGTACTATAACATATACAGTAACACATCTCCAGAAAAAGGTCACTTGTAAAAGCATACTTAGACACTCAAAGCTGTAGTCTTAAGACACTTACAATGCAATTATTTATCCTTGGTAATTTTTTTATGGGCTGCCATGCAACTTAAATATTTAATTTATTAAATAAACAACTATTATGACTTCACGATACAATTTTAAAAACACATATAGGCTTCATGTCCTTTGACTACCGACTATCGTCTACCATGTATGTAAATATTCTATTAAGTACCTACTATAATAACAATGACCTGCATTATGATGACCCAGATAATAATATAATGTTATTGATATTTGGTATAAAAAATTTATAAATTGAGTTCGTGTCTAAAAGTTTACATATTATAATATTTCTTTTATTTCTTGTTTTTTAAATTTAAATTTCACGTACAATGAATGCCAAGCCTTATTGGGAGAATTCGTGTGGGGAGGAGGCGAACTGTGTTTGCCATAGACACTATATTTATATGCGTGTTAACTGTATATATGGTTGGATATAGAGGAGTGCAAGCTAAACTTATTTTTCTACTATATCCTCGTGATAACATGATTGTAATATGTCATAGGCTAAAATATTCAATAAATGAATTACATCCTGAATAATATTAGGTATATAATATTATAATTATTATTTATTATGTAAACATAAATTAATAGATAGGTAGAATGTTTACAAATCACTGCCCCATAACTATAAAGTATAAACGGCAAGCGTACAATCACAAAAGTAACCTACCAATTTTAATTACCCAAATTCCTTGCCTTATTATAATCATTTCCAACTTTTTCCTATGTCCTATAGTTATAACAATTATTAACGTGATTTAATTATTTTAGTTTACATTTTTTTACTATCTTGATTTCTAATTATTTAATGTTCGTTTTCTCTCCCCTCGACAGGATGATGAGAAAGAAGCTGAAGAAGCGCACGTCAACGGCATGTTTGTTATGCAAGAACAAGAACAAAACGCACAGACAAATCAGAGTTTTTCCACCAACACACCAGTATAAAATATATTATTTACAATAAGTACCTATAACAACTACGACGTGTTTCCAGTATTATCATGTATATATTATGTATAACAGTCAACAGAGCTGGTTGTATAAGATCGCACGTGCTGCTGACGACAATTCATATATTATGACTCGAACGTATTATTATTATTATTATTATTATTATTATTATTATTATTATGTATTATTAGTAGATATTTTACTTATTTTTATTATTATTTTTCTGTGTTCATGTGACCGTTTACATTATAATTATCATTTACAATTATATTTTTCGTGGCTGTTTTTTAAGAAATCACGATGGTAAAACATAAATTATATCTGCAACAAGTCAAATGTAACATAACCAACTGACGTATTAGGTGTACAAATGTGCGGTATAGGTAGGCACTTCGGAGATTGTGACGGTTGATAGTTGAAAGTTGAAACAGTCAAATATTCGAGGTAGGTATCTATAATATACAGGATGTCCTGCGAGGATTTACCCATTGCGATATCTCACGAAATAATGGAGATATCAAAATTCTGATTTTATAATGAGATTTACAGGGATAAGAACTACAATTATTTCATTTTTTAATTTATTTTAATGTTTTTGTAAAAATTTAAAAAACATATTTTTTTATTTAATTATTTCCAAAAAAATTAAAGATAGCCATTTTGTATAATTTATTTTTCTAAAACTATTGACGTTCCAACATTTTATTTTTATTAATTTCCGATTTTTAATATTTTTTTTAGTTTTAAAGAAATAAAATATGATAAACTATTAGGAGCATAGAAAGTATTCGGCTGGCCATATGGGAATGCGCGCGGCGCGGTGGGTCACATATGTTTGATAACATTACGGTGCTAAATAATTTGCAATTTTTCTCGAAACTAAAAAAATATTAAATATCGGGAAATTAATGAAAATAATATTTTGAAACGTCAATATTTTCAGAAAAATAAACTCTACAAAATGGCTATATTTATTTTTTTTTGGAAATAATTAAATAAAAAAATATATTTTTAACTTTTTTATCAAAACATTAAAATATGAAATAATTATAGTTCTTATCCCTGTGAGTCTTATTACAAAACCAGAATTTTGATATCACCATTATTTCGGGAGACATCTCAATGGGTAAATCCTCACGGGACACCCTGTATCCATCAGTATAAATCTAGATGAAGCGTTAACTACAAAAAAATTGTATCATAATTCATAATATCATATTTTACTGTTTTAAACTCTGTGGCCGATAATTATATATGATATAATGTCTCGCCTAAACCAGCTACATGATTCATGACATATTACTATAATCGGTGATTATTAAAAATAAAAAAATTAATTAAATAATACAAGTACAAGTACACCTATCGTAAGCATATAGGTATATCATAACAGAAAACGAGAAAACCTTTGTTTAATTTAATTCATATTTTCAAGAAATCATTAATCAATTAATAATACAATATAAGTAGGTATAACATTTAGACTTAGTTGAAAAMATTTTGAGTTACCATCGTGCCCCCTTGAAATTATTATTGTTAATATTATTATTTGTGTTTTTTTCTATCGTGTCAGTATATAATATTATTAATAATATTGTACTTATAATATATAATTATATACTTGCCATATGTTTATATAATATCGTTAATATCATATTATAAATATATATATGTGTAAACATATACAGGTATTGAACTATTATCGTTGAAGTCTCTTTAATCTATATTATAATATTATGAGCTTATTGAATTTATGCCACAAGTCACCACTATACTGTGTATCGCCTGGTTTGACAAATAATATTGTAATATTATAAATATTATAATTATATTCATCGAGTGCATAACTCTCCCACACTGACACGTCACTGTAAATACCATTGTATTATAATAAAAAATCCAAATTAAACGATTAAATTCCGCTTGATCCAGGAATAATTTAATTCAATTTTTGTCCAAAATATTGAAAATATTCTAAAAATAATTGGACTCTAGACTGATGAAATTTTGAAATTCAAACGATCTGTTCAAAACGTCCAAATATCAATAAGGTATTTAGGTTGCAACACTCATCAGTAATGGCACAGACTAGGCATTGGTCCAGGGCCCCATAAAACCTTCCGCCGTCATTAAGCCTCCTTCGTTTTTTTAAACCAAGAGGCGGTCGTCGATATTTTTACTAAATCCTTTTAAATCAAGGAAAAGTTGGTCGGTTAAATTCACAACACAAACCGGTTTAGTAAATCGGGTTGTTGGACTGACATTAATACATTTTTCCAAGTTATACATAGATATTAGATACCCTTATATATATATTTATTCAATGTCTAAAATGATAATAATAGTGAAAAAAAGGAAACAATGATTCAACGTTTCAACACAATATCACCTGTGTGCTCCTCTTCTTGAAGATGGTATTGCACATGATCACTGCAGGAGTATTATAGCGGTGTAAGARTTCAACAATTCGATTATATATTACTATTATTAGTAGGTAGGTATATGACACGATGGTGAAATAAATTACAATTATCTATCTTTAAGTTAACTATTACACCTGTACATATAGTAAATCGATTAAAAATTTCGTTGATGCAGAGTTGACAGTTGTTGGATCTACTTGGCGATCAAACCCCGACTACTAGCGATGAAAATTATATCATATTTTAATATGCTCGTACACAGTCGTGCACCGTGGCGCCGAACAGGTACCTAGTTCAATTGAACTGCCTTCAAAATTTTAAAATGCCTTTAAAACAATGAGCGGTTCCACTTTCCTCCAAAAACGAGGTACCGTTTTCCTCCACTATCCATTTTCCACCACAAAATATAAGGTTGATTTCCATTTTCCTCTGCATTATTTTCGACTACAATTATTTCTTTTTTCCTCCAATATTTTAGCCAGTGTTGTAGTGTTACGTGCCGTGTTATAAAGATAGAGTAAGGCTAGGATCACAGTTTGAGCTAATTGATTGATGATTACATTCTGGTATCGAATATCTATATCAGCTACCTATATCGACAAACGCTAATTAGTCCGAGSKATTACAAAAAGTAAAGTAATTATTCATATTAAATCTAATTTTTCTTTTCTTTAAACAGGTATTCATTTGTTGCTGAAATTTCCTATGATTATAAAAAATATATATACCTAAAATAATAATCTATTTATTTTTTTTCAATACATAAATTATTTATACTGACTATTTTATTATTATATCTTTTATGTATTGGATGAAAATGGACAGTGGAGGAAAACGGTATCTCTTTTTTGTAGGAAAACGGCTACTTCCTAATCTTGCTGCTATAGTTTTATCAAACATAGGTAACCCGAGAAAATTCACCGAGTGTTGAAGTATGGCAATAACGACGAGTCAATAATCAGTARATCACCATTAGGCACATGATGGTTACCTAAGCAGCGTTATAGTAAGTATTAAAGTACTATAATACCCAATAGTTACCACCGAAAAAGCGTATCGTCGTACATGATGTTTGTTATAACAACAAAATTTGACTACACACAAACAATAATAGTTATAATTATGGTATTATAACATAACCGTTTCTAAGTCGAAAAACGTCCTAAATGTATTACCTATATTTGAAACATTTATTCTTCTCTATCTCTATATCATATATTACTATAATATTGATGAATTTTATCGGGTAATACCTATACGCAGGTGTATGTATAAACATAAAGAAAAATGTTTCACAAGAGTACGAGACTGTGTATAGAATTAATAAACCTGCAATAGAGCCTATTCTTCTATTTTTCTCGTTTCTTTACAACAGAGGTCAACAAACTTCTGTAATCATAGGTACCTACATAGTTGTACGCAGTCTGTAGTCTCTTTTATAGGCCAACAACCGACATTTCCTAATCAAGCGATCGCGCGGTACATTAATAACAGACACGTATCCAAATGGTCGACTAGTTACGACTCGTGTAGCTGTTCGAATCGATATCGAATGCCTACCTAAAAGAGTTTACAAGAATATCCGGCGCTAAACATTAACTGCTGTCTATTTAGATTGAACTCAACAGGAGAATGCAATTAAATTTTGTACTACACATACGGACAAGGCCCACATTTAATACAACTGTTTTATATATATATATATTTTTATCATTATAAAAAAAAAAATTTTTTAAGCCATTTTAAGTGCATTTTACACTATACTTTTTGGCATTTTTTTTTTTTAGTGCATTAAATTATTTAAATTCACAGCTCTAATTATAATTTATATTTTATCCACTTAAATAACAACAGTTTTTGTCACAGTAAAAACACGGAATTTTAAAATTTGTCAACTTTAAAAATGTTCTCTATATTATAGTATACTAAAATACCAATAGGCGCAATAGCATCAATATTTCTTGAGATTTCATACCCATAGATWTTATTCAAATGTATGTTTATACTTGCATTAAGTTGCAATAGTTTTTATCAATAATTTAGTTACCTACAACCAAACATGTGCTTCTATCTATTGGTTAAATATTTAATAAGAAAAAATAGAACGTAATATTACTAATATTATGTTCTTGATATCAACATTATATATATATATCATAATTATTCTATTCTGTGATATCAATTTGGAGTAAACGTAGATTATTTTGTTACTAAGAAATCAGTCACTGCACACATCAATTAAAAAAATTATTTACCCTTTAAAGATTTAATAATTTTGGGGTATCAAAAAAAAAAAAGTGACAAAACGGGAATATATTAATTATTCGTACATCAGTATCTGATAAAATTGAATTTTTTAACCAAATAGATCAGTTGTTACTTGTTACAAGAAAGTACAACAAAACCCTAAATATTGAAGATTTTGTAATTTTTTGCTTTTAACAATGGTATATTTTACAGGATTATGTTGAAGGGGGTATTATCGAGAAGGGTACGTAAAAAAATTTCATTAATTCCAAGAAAATAGTAATGTTGTTCATAGTTTTTTATAGTATTTTCATGTTGATGAATGATAATACGTGCAACTATATTCTCTGTAGTTGGTGATGTATTCAGACCTACCGGAAATATTTCAAAACATTTAGCTTTATTAATAATAATAATTAATAAACATCACCAACATGGATCTCCATGATTGTTGTAAATATCAATGTCAAATACTTGTTTAATACTTTAATCAACACACCAAAAAGATTTTGAAAAAATTTAATTTTTGAACCCATGATTGGACATAAGCCTTTACAACTTACTTATTGAACCATTAATCAATTTTACAAGCAACCTGATCTTTGTGTTTGATAAGGAATATTTTGGAAATTAAAATGCATATATGGAAATTTTTTATGGCTACAAATCCTCTGCCCTAATGTATAATACTATTTATAGTATTGTACATTATAATCAATTCTCTAGTTTCATATTTCTATTATCTCATCAAGACATAAAATTGATGCCTCAGTTCTGCTGCTGAGGTATAAAGAAGCAGAATTAAGTACATCATACCTCATAACTATTCAAGTTTAAGAACACAATGAAATAGTTAAATTATTCCACGTGAGAAGGTATATTAAATTTTAAAATTAATGTTACTGTTACTGTTAAATTGCATAGAGAATCAATATACAAACACATATAATTCAAAAAACTTATTATTTAAATCAATACTTYAAAATGATATTGACAATAATTAATTTAATATGCATGAGAAAATTTAGAATTATTTTAATATTAAAAAATAATATCATTTGCACTTAAAACAGGATACACCATACATTTAAACCGAATACCAGGCAATATAAMAAGAGTTTTCTAAATGGATCTATACATACACCAATGTTGAATAATAACCACACTCAAACACCACTTTTCAACTAGACAATAATCGATATACCGAAAAAATACCACATTGCATAATATTTAAATATTATATGCTGGTTAATATATATGTCCAAATACTATGACAGTTAAACACATAAATAGATTTATAATTAACTGTATGATATATCTGAGGTAGTGTACACCAGTCAAAGAGCAGACAGTAACCTATCAAAGAACTGTTTGTAAATGTAACCTCAATATAAGGAAATAAAAAAATAAAAATACACAATTAAGCGTATGAAATAATCAATTTTTATTCCTCTTGTACAACTGTTGTCTTTTCAGATACATATAAACCATCCAAGAACTTACGGATATCCTTGTTCTTTACGGTTGTAGACTGTTGGATTAAAGCAGCTAGAACAAATAATAAATAATTTATTATTACATCTAAAAACTCAAGTTATTAATTAGAATATGTTAAATACATTCTATAAAATTCAATAATATATTCAGAAATTGAATCAAGGACTTACACACTATTCTGTCCGATAATTAATACTTTTAATAATAATAGATTAAAATATTAGGACTGTTTTTTAGATTTTGAGTGAATGCAAATGGTAAGATGTTTCAAACAAAATGTATCAATTGTTTGTCTACAATACCAATGTATTTAGAGATGTTATCACACTTTTAAAAATTGACTTGACTTGAATTTAGAACTATATCAACTTAACACTCATCAAGACCACTTTTTTGATACTAAATATATACATATTTATATTTTATATTAAAATTATTATTTATTTTATTAGGTATAAATTTGATATATAATACTTTTTTTTAATATTTTAAATTTATGAAATTTAAATGACGATTCTTTAAAATTTTAATTAAATATCTAAAAATGTGGCCTATTTAACTTTGGGTAGGCTTATCAAGAATACAAAACAGTTTTCAGAAATAACAATGTGTAATCGGGTCTAATGATATTGATTTTATGATATACGTAAAGGTAAACAATTCTATTACTGTATCCATTTGCATTAAGAGGATGTTACGCCCACAGCATATGTTGTCTTCAGTCTTACAAGTGTAATGTAGCAAATTTTATGCTCAGCAGATCACATTTGGCCAAATTAGTTTAATAATTAGAGTAAATTGAAATATTATAAAATTTAAAGGTAAGATTATTATAATGAGACGACCTTGTGGTCTTGATAATATATTTTAATTTTGATGTAGATTATTAGTGTTTTAAAGGTACATCAAAATGTATAAAATACTTATAACTCGCTTTATAATAAAAGTATCATGAGATCGTCAAAATAATATTTTTAACTTAAAATTTTATACAGAGTTAATTAACTCTAATTTTTATACAAACAGAGTTAAACGAGATTTGATGGGTGCCATATTTGATGTTATGCAATTGTAATATAGAGACAATACATGGCGGGATAACATCCTTTAACGGATACAGCAATCCTAATGGTAGACAGCAATTAGTAGCTTCRAATATTTAAAATAGGATGGCTTATCTGTATATTATAAAATCAATGATATTGGGTAGATTGACAAAGAGTACATGCAAATTAACAWACATTACTTTCTGTTTATAAGAGTAAAGCCGAGATGTTGACTTGTACTTGTAGGAACCAATGCTTTATTTTTTTTACATAGTCATACACAATAAACACAATAAAAAACTTTGCAATCTATTTGATTATGCCTAAATCATATTATTTTAGAAAATATTTAAAACCTAATTAGATTATAAAGAAATTGAATCTAGCATGTGTTATATTTAATATTATAATTATATGTATTTAAATTTCAATAATTATCATTAATGCTCTATCTAAGATTAGTACAAACTACATGCTTAGTCCAACTTTGAATCAACTTAATTTTGAAAAAAAAATTAMCAAAAATTAAGTCTACAATAATTTAAATAGTTCCTTTCATAATTTTAAAAACTATTATTCAAGATCAATWTTTCAGTTTTAGATTATTTAACTGCCTACCTAACTAAAATTAACTTGAAAGTTAAATATTATGATTATTATTGAAAAAATCAAGTTTCATTATTTTTATTTTAAACACAAGTGAAACATGTTTAACAAAAAGGTCGAGAGTTAAATATAAATAGTAGGTACCTACTTAAGATAAAAAATATAATATACCTGATCTAGAAACTTTTTCAATGTCATTTCCTTCAACAATTAACTCATCTTTTTGTTTTGAGTTAGTGATGGTGACACCTGGAGACATCTTGACACGTCTAATGTATTTTTCACCCAAGAAATTTCTGATTTCAATAAGTGAATTGTTTTCAGAAGTAACACAATTGATGGGAAAATGGGCATATACRGCTCTCATTTTGTATAAGAAACCCTAAAAATAAATTTTAAAAGTTTAACTAAATGAATACTCATTATTAAATTAATTAGTTCTCACCTTTGTGACACCTTTAATCATATTTTCAACATGAGTGCAAATGGTTCTAACAGCAGCCAATTCTTTCTTGGTGCCAAACCATTTTTCTACAGTTAACACGCGGGGTCCTTTTAGGTATATATCAACAGCTAAATGTTTGAAGTTCCTTTCTAATGAACCACGGGGACCTTTGACAACTATAATCCTCTTATTGACTGTGACATCAATGCCTTCCGGGATTTTCACTGATTGGTTGGCGTTTATGGTCCTCATCTGAAAAGTTTTAATAATGTTTTAAATAGGTATTCAATACACAATAAATACTAAACAATAATATATCATATCTTGTTTAAGATTAAAAGGTTAATCAAAAATTAATTATTTAAGATGTGCATAAAAAATTTCAATATTTCAATCATATGCAAGAGACATTAACACGATTATGCAGAGTACCAAAATCTTAAAAAAATTGCACAGTAAAATCACAGATTATACCGATGACCGACTGATGAATTATTATTTTTTTTGATATAATATGGTATTATACGGGTAAACCGACYAAGTGTCGAAAACAGCCACGAAAAAGTCGATACATTTTAAAATTTCAAACTCACAGTTTGGATAGGTACAAATGTTTTAAAATAAGGTGAACTGGTAAAGTAGTGTCCGAAGTTTGAAATTTAGATTGATGTGGGAATGAAAGGAAATGAAAACTGAAAGTGCCGGAGGAGCGTAGTTTCGGCGGACGTCAACACTTACGTTCTTGAAAAATATAAAAAATATATTCCTGAACGCGAACACTAAATAAAATAACGATTGCGAAGAACTTACTGTTTCGATCAATTAGGTTTTAAACGTAATATCGTAGATATAAACTTGGATTACCTTGGATGAAAATCCGGACACACCGAAGTCGCAAACTAGAATCGAAGAAGAGAAGAATTTGTTTAGGTACGAATTCGAGGTTATGATTTTATGAAAAAATGTCATGAGGACGTGGTATAAGCGGTATAAGTTAACGTGGGGTATCTTATTGTGATCACGACCACAGTAACCATTATGGTTTGATATTAATTTTTGTTTTTCTTATCAGTGTTCTTATCAATCGTTGTTTCGGCGTCGGTTCACGGACCACGGTCTCTCGGAAAGTTAGAAATCATAAGCATCGAAAAAAGATTAGTATTAGGTAGTAGACATTAGTACCTAAGTAGCACCTCACTTATTACAACTGGTTGGTGGTGACTGCAGTCTGCWTTACGACTCGTATTACTCTTTCGTAAGTAAATTTTTTGTTACATTTTTGGGCAAAATTCGCGTCCAGTCTCCAGTTTTAAAACAAACGCCATGGCTGACATAAGCTCGTACAGAGACCAACACTTTAAAGGCTCTCGAGGTGAACTGGACAAGCTATTGCGTTTGTCGACGACCATGTACGTTGGAAACTTGGCGTTTTATACGACAGAGGGACAGATTTATGAGCTGTTCTCAAAGTGCGGCGATATTAAACGCATCGTCATGGGCCTGGATAAATTCAAGAAAACGCCCTGTGGATTTTGCTTCATTGAGTACTATACAAGGGAAGATGCAGAGAATTGTATGCGTTTTGTCAATGGTACCAGATTGGATGACCGCATCATAAGAACAGACTGGGACGCCGGATTTGTGGAAGGCAGACAATATGGCCGTGGAAAAACTGGTGGCCAAGTGCGGGACGAGTATAGGACTGATTATGACATCGGCCGAGGTGGATATGGCAAAAACGCTCAACCCAAAGCAGACATGATAATATTCGGAAGAAACAAAGACTCCCTTCCAATGGAATAAAGCACAAATCCATCAATTTATCTTTTTTTTAAATTTTTTTTTTATATCATGTAAATTTCCTACCACTTGATTTTGTAAATAAATAAATATTTTATATGTTGTAGAAGTATATTCCAATCAAACTCAAATGATCATATTATGATCATGTTATATAACATTGGGATGTGACATTTTTAAATTGCTACGCACAAATGAATCATAACCAATCAGATAATTTGCATTGCTGTGAATATATTAACATGAACGAAGAAAAGTCTACTATAATATCAGACCTTTGTATTTGTCCACCATTTGGAAACTGCTGTTCAAAGTAAATATACTGAACACCTATCATATTATTGAATACTGGCACTGTTTTTAGTTTGCTTATTTTGTTTATTTTCTTAAAAATTTGTAGCAGTTATTTTATAATTATTAGGTAACAATGATGGTCTTGTACAAAACTGTAACCATTCAATATTTAATTAATAAAACTGTTAGTGGAATAATTATTTATTTGCTACCTACTTACCAACTATAAATTTAAATTGTTTTTGTTMTAACTCCTKAAATAAGTGTCAGTTGGGAAAAACTAATACATCTACRAATATTAAGAGGACCCACTGCAAACCRTCTTTATTTCTTTCTTGATAGCAGTTACCCATAATCAAATGAAAAAATCTWATGTCCTCAAACTAATAACTTTAATTGTATTCATGTTATCCAAATGTTAAATACACTAAAACACAAATGAAGTTCTTTCTTATTTGTTGCGAAAATTTGGTAATTCAACTATAAAAACAAGATTACTGTCCCTATCAAAACAGTTTTTGCTAAGTTGTACATTGTTAGCCAGTTAATCAAAATTGTGAGTAAAAGAAACAATTATATGTTTAAAGTTATAGGTGAATCATACTAAACTATAGATTCAATAAAACTATACTAAAATAATATATTGATTTTACATACAAATTTACTTTTTGGTATTTTTCTTACAAAATTAATAGATTATAAATCTATATAGTGTCGCTAACAACTGGTGGCTAGTTTTTATCAAAATYAAAATATTATAGTTGTTGGCTTGAGAGGAAATCCATTGATAGAAATTTTATTTAATATTCAAATAAAGCTGATGATGTTGAAAAAATGTATTGGACAATTTTAATTATATTTGTTATTATGAGCGACATTATTGCACATGCAAGTTGCCCTGTGTTTATATTTAAACTATAAATATATTTTGAGTATAAATTATTTTTAAATTTAGTTAAATATATCAATAAAATTTGAGTCAGATATTTGGTATTTAATAATATTAAAAATGTTGTCAATATTATATGTTAATATATACGTTTTATACATGAATGGCTTGTTAGTTGTTAATTWTTGGAGCATACTGATACAACCCTTAGACTTAATACTAATAAGTAATTATCAAAAAATGTATTATGCAAAGRAAATAAAAATATTTTTACCAATGTATATAGGAGGGTTGCCTAGTGGGCKGCAGCCCCTCCCGAAATTATAATCTTAATTATTAAATATATAATAGCATTTAAGTGCTAGATCATTATTGTTAGTTGCTTTATATTATAGCCCAACTCCAAAATTATTTCTATATAATATGCTACATTCAGTAGCATATATAGAAACAATTTTAAACAATACCTTTTAAAGGTATTGTTGTTTATGATATATGTAGAAARYAGTTAAAAGGTTTTTATTTTATGACTCGTAACAGTCATCAACATGAGCTACAATATTGTTCAAATAAGTTAGGTTAGACCTTCACTTTAAAAAAAAAATTTTAATGCATAACTAAAATGACAAAATAGATTTTAAAATGTTAAGAGGAAAATAATTTGCTAAACCAATTGCATGTGACCATTATTAATGATGTAGCATCTTGTACATCCTGTCATTGCTAGTTATAATAGTAAACTAACATAAAATATAAAAGAGACATCTAGAGATCAATCTGAGCACACCTTCACAAAATACAATACAATTATTTAACAAATTAATTATTCTATATTTCTATTTGTTCAATACATTAAAGATCAAACTATTTAAGTAACTTATACTTCTGTACATTAAGTAATTTTCTTTATAAAATCATATTACTTTTTCTGTTATTGAGATGTATTGCTACTATTATCAACAGTTCATTTGTTTACATTGTTTCAGTTTGTTGAAATGTCCACCATCTAGAGACATAGAAATAAATGTTATGGTGGCAAATTTTCAAGATCGATTTAGAATTCCTTGGCAGGGAGGAGCAAGACGTATTTCTTTAGATTCTGCAGTGCCATTACTTCTCTTTCCGGCCTCTCTTTATTTTGCTGCTCAAGGGTTTTGGCCAACCATATTAATGTTTCCATTGGTTACATTGTTTCTCTATTACACTCATCGTACTGTCCGCAAGTACAGAGTGGCCACAAAATTCTTTTATGTTTGGACATTGACATCGGCATCATTAATGTTAACTGTATTCCAGTTTCTTGCTGTGCCTATATTAGACATAAACACTAATGAGAACATCATAATTACAGTCACTATGGTTGCCACTGCAGCTTGTTTCTATTTTACCAAGAAACATGCAATCAAATCTCATCTGAAATATGATCTAGAAATGACAAATGTCAATGAAACAGACGAAAACATAATTTTAATAAATGAAACTGAAAATATTCAATGCTATACTTGTAAAAGGAGTGTACCGTCCAKAACTTATCACTGTTTCGTGTGTAAGACTTGTGTGATCCAACAACACATACATTCTTATTGGTATGATTCTGAGGTCTGCCAATTTATACAAAGCATAAATCATAATAGTRTTTAATTTATTCATACAGGATAGACTGTTGCATTGGAAAGCATAATAGAAAACCATATATGGCTGGTCTGGTCCTTGGTTCAGTTTTGTTTACATTCTTGTCAAATCTCATCTTGACTACACTGTGTCATCCTTTCCATGCTTTTGCAACAATCATGTTACCCGATGACTGTAGTGATGTATATTATGACATTATGTAAGACAATTTTAAATATTTTATTCCATTATATGACCTATTATAATAAATGTTGATTCATTATAAWTTGTACATATACATTTTTATATCAACTATCAAACAGATACCTCTTTTGATACAAATTAAAAACACAATCATTTTTAAACAAATTATCTATTTATAATAGTATAAATAATATAAAATATTTTTACGTTWACTCATTTAATTTCTTGTATTACATTTGCATTTATGGGAAAATTTCTTAGGGTTTTAATAGTTTTATAAAATGAATTTTKTTTTAAATTCTTTTCAGTAAATAGTCAATGTTACATTTTTAATCGATATTATTTTGCTTAAAAATATATTTTTTGATTTAATAATGTAATATATAATAGTGAATATAGATAATTGGTATCAAAATGAGTGTATGTTTGATATCAAACACTGCAGTATATATGACACATCCACGACTTAAAATTTGTATTTTGTTTTTTCCAGGTATGGTATTTGTTTTGTGTCTGGGCTGTATTGTTTTGCAGTCGGAGTAATTTTGTTTTTAATGTTTATCAATGATATCTATATGGTATCATTAGGAATAACTTACCATGAGTGGCAAGAACAATGTAAAGATTTTAAAGGTGATTGTCGTTGGTTCCTATCTAGGCACGTTATTAGGAATATACTACTAAACTGGAGAGCATTTTTCAATAATGTCTAAACTCTGAACCAATATTTCATGTTTTTATTTAATATATATATATATATATGTTTTATTAATAATTTCTCTCAATTTAGTATATATTTTTAAGGCTTTTATTGTATATTAATTAATGTATGATAATTAATAATACTGTTCACTGTTAATTGTTAAACACAAAAAAATATGTCATTAATTTATAATTTTATATAATGTAATGAATCTGTATAAATTATAATTCAAATGTTGGAGGAATAAAGTCTGGTAAAATTTCTTGAACCTTTTCATGCCACAGCCGTAGTCTGCAATCTTTGAGCCTTTCCTTGTACATTATTTCTGGAAACTTCCTCCAATTTTCAAAACAATACTTCATAATTATCCTATAGGTAATCATATTCCAATTAGTATTCATCAACATAACTATTAAAGCTATTCTATTTTGATTAATTATTAGTTAATATATTTTCTTAGAAAAATTATGTTAATATAGGATTTGAGATTTCTACCTTACTGTACATAGTTAATTTGTCTATTTAGAATAAGATAGGCTTATATTATGGTCATTGTCAGATTTAGAGTTTTACTGTTTTAAAGTTTAGGTTAGAGTTGAGTTTCATTGCTTATATGACTATTTTTATTGATAAAATAATTTTCAAAAATGTCCGCTACTTATTAGATTCTGTACAAAGAGCCTTTACGCAGAGCTAAGTGCACTCTATAGATCCTAGAATGTCCTTATATCTTAAACTCTACATTTTAATAATAAATTCTAGATTTTATAAAATAATATTACTTGTTATGATGAGATTCAGCTTTTAACATTTTTTTTTGTATCTGAACTCTAATTTCTCTAATATAATCAAGCCATATTTTAAACCAATATTCTTCCATCTTAAAATTTCGCCAATCCTCGGCAACTTGTTGTTTCCTCTTCCATTCTTCTAAAATCTAAAAATAAACTATTTTGTGAAAACGAATAATTTAATCACTTGTTTAAATTATCATAACTTAATATTAGGTGCATATTATATCATTGATTTTATATAATAAATCAGTAAAATATAATATATTATAGTAATTATTGTACCTAATAGGTATCAAATGCAATGTAAAATAATACAATTGAATTATATCAGATATAATATGTGACTTGAAAAGTCGCACATTAATGACTCATCTCATATCTATAATACCTTATAGAACCCAAGAAATGTGGTCTTCAGCAATTTCCGCTTGTAAAACTGTTCTGCCAAAAGAATTTTCTCGTTCAAACTGTTGTTGACGTAAAACCGCCATTTGCTGAAGCAAGTGCCGACCAGTTGTCTGTCGTAATGATCCGAAGCCTCTTCTGCCCGCCATCTGGCACAGTTTAAATTCGCCCTGAACGCGTCTAGTCCTCTCCTCATCAACAGCTTACGGTACAAATCGTCCGCGATCCGAATGTTCTCCCTCTGCACTTCCCTTTCCGCCTTTCGTCTGTTCTCCTCGATCGTCCTCAGTCTCAGGTTTTCCCTGGCCTCGAGCAACCGCTCGCGTTTCTGCTCCATCCGTTCCCTCGCGCACTTCTCCTCCAGCTCGCGTTTTTTCCGCAATTCTTCCTGTTCCGCTTTCCGGCGTCTCTCTTTGATCGCCTCCCACTTGGCTCGGCGTTCCAATGCCCGCAATTCCATTCGGTTTAGTATGTCGGACGGACTCGCCGCGGGGGCGCTCTGCAGCTGTTGCACCGACGTCGGAGCGTTTTTCGTCTTCAACCTTCTTTCGGGTCCACCGGCGTGCAAGTCTTGCAAAAGTCTCTGATTCTCGAGCAACGCCTTTTCAGATTCCAATTTCAGTTGTTGCAACCTGAGCTGTTCGATTTCCTTCCGTTGTTTGTCAAGCAATTTTTTCTGTTCGTCGATTTTCGCCTGCTTGCGATCGACATTATYGCTGACGGYCCGCTTCGTCGGATCCGCTCGGTTCCACTCGCAAGTCTGCCTATTATTGTTGTTGCCGGAAATTTTATTCTTCCGTCGACGRTTGTYATCGATGATGTCCAATTTCTCTTGGATTTTCGACAAAAACCTGTCGACTTTATCGTTTGTCCCTCCGCGGCCGCGGGACGCTTTCGACTTTGCTGCGAAGTCCCGCCATCTGTCCCAGTAAATCCTTTGCAACAGACGCGGCGGTGCCATGATTGTTTCCGGTCCGTTTTTCTCGTCCGCCGCCATGTCGCGACCAGCTGTAGTGGTAGTCGTACGACCATCTTTATCGTCGTCCGAGTTGTACTCGTATATCTTCGCCGGTTCAACGTCGCTATAATTATCGTAATCATTTTTATAGTAGTTTATATGATTGTTTACGATGTTGATGTTCAACTGTCGTACGTTGATGACGGTAAAATTGTTGACGACCTCTGCACCGTCTMTTGCATCAGACGATGTCGAGTTGCGACAAATATTCTTAACGCCATTGAAGGCCTCTGCGTTTTCGCTGCGAAACTCATCGTCTTCGTCMTGCTGCTGTACACGCCGATCGACAATAGACGACATTCCTCGGACGTGTTTCGATTTTTTTCTGCGCGCATACCTATCGTGTACAAATAGCATAACAAAATTAATTTGCGTCTTAAAATAAATAAAATACGTATGTAGGTAYTTTGTGTGGTTTTGCAGATAATTGAACGTTTGGGAGATGGTCAACTTACGAAATTATAACGATAAAAAATAGTTTGAAACATTACAATTTTCTATAAATATTGTTTTGTAACCAAATAAAATTGTTTAAAAGAAATATTATTATTATGTTCAAAAGCGTTAATGTTTTCTGAAATAATAATTATTGCCTTACATTAAATGGACTACTCGGCGTATTTCGTAAATTAGGTACCTACCTAAATCTATTTCATGAGGATAAAATCAAAAATATATGATAAACTTGAAAATGCGTAATATACGTAAAGATATGGAGTGGCGGAAAGGAATCAATCCTGTCCAAGTCTATAGGTATCATTATATAGGTATAATTATATTATATTTTTTTTGGCTGACATTGAATTGAGTCCATGCTACTTTTATTTGTTTGAATTGAGTCCGTATAGAGATAAGATATTATAACTGCATATCCGGTGACGACACTAGTAAACAAATTTTCAGATTTAAATTTTTAAAGTCTGTATCTTTTAAATTTTTACTATTTAAATTATATTATATTTATATTACACATAGTTATTTTTTAAATCAATTAACTTTTTGTATTTTATAACGATTAAAAAAAAACTGTAAACAATCACATTCACACACAACGACACAACTACTTAAATTATATTATAAAATTATTAATTAACTTTTTGTACTTTATACAATTTTGTAGTTTTATAGGTATCTAAGATTTTGAAAAAAAATAATATTGTACACAATCACACACAATTTTTGGGAGAYTACTCAGTCAACCTCCACGTGGTGTCTCCTGGATATCGCTAACAGACTGAAGGGGCTCAACTCCGATAAACTAAAAATATTTGCGAGACTCAACTCCGATAACCCAAAAAATACCCCAAAAGCGTACCTATACCTTTAACACAATATAATATTATTTTTTCGATAAAAAATAAAAACTTACTTATTTATATTTGAAATCACTCTTTTACAGTCCCGTTTGATTAACCAACGATGTTCGTCTTCCGTCTAAAATGTAATTTATTTAARTAAATACAATTGATATTAGATAACTACAYATAATTATATTAAGAACACGCCAATGTAATTAATTTAGATCGTGCTTAGAAAAACAAACCCTCCTTCCAATTTTGAAGATTCTTAATGTTGTGTAAAAACGACTTATACTTAATTGGCTAATTACSAGTGGCGTACGCAGGAGTAGGGATCTARGGTTTTGACCAMCCCCTCCTGAAAATATTTCCTTTTACAAAAATATCTTATTTACCACCATTTCAATACACAGGGTACACCAACAATATTGTTGGTAATTTTTMACAGATAAAAAATAAATTTTAAAKTTATTATTAATTTTAATTTGTTATATAATTATAACATTTTAGCAAAAAAATAATGTAAATCATTTATTCATGTAAAACCTTAACTGAACTAAAATCTTGCGTAMGTTASTGCTAATTACAATWATTCAAACAAAAACAAAACAAATGCAAATATTTTAGAACATAAGAGTAAAAACCGTTGGTACAGCATGAATGTAAGACGTATAACTAAGCATGATACGGTGAACAAGTTAATAAGATAATTAATAAGGTCTTATTTTTTAAATAGGTACCAATTTTACTATTTACCAAGCGTCTTTCGGAATTACTAACGATTCTATCCAATTGTTTTCTACTAACGATACTGTAATCTTCTAGACTCTTAGTGGAAAACTGTGCAACGTCTACTGCTAAGTTGTAGGAGTAATGGAAGTTAACGCCYTGATGATCGATGTTGAACGTCATCTCAACATAATAAAACGTTCTTGGACATTATGTTATATTCAAAAAATAGTATAATTTTTTAATAACATACCTATATATAACAATATCTATAACTTTTAGAGGTAGGTACAAACTATCTATTATWATACACTATGGCGTTCACATAGCTTTTTTACGCGTTTTATTAAGTTTTACTAACACTTTTCACGCCGATGTATCAATAACACCAACGACTGCGTGTTGTACAATATTACACGATATAATAACAATAACAACAATTACACCGGACCCTATGATATGGTGCCAATAAGAAAATGTTTACGTATTACTGCCGCAATCGCTATGGCAACATATTACAATAATGGTGAGTGTATATTATAATGATATTATATTATATACATTTTATACTCATATGTGGTTGTATCACATATAATGTATACCTATTTATCTATAATGTATTATACTAAAATTATTGTTAATTTTTATCTATAACAATAAATAAACGCCTCCAACCAGTGGCGTTCAAATTTTTAGAATGAATTTTTTTTTAATTTGAAAAACTTAAATTTAGGGTGACAAATTAAATAATAATACAAATAAAAATAAGTATTCTATTAAAATGTACGATATTTTGTGTTATGTTCACGTGTCATCACAGATCATCAAATCTGAAAAAAAAWTTTTAAATTACGTCGTTTGCGTGCCCACACGTGATGCACTGGTTGAAAACACTTCTCTTGCACCGGCACCGGKACCTAATAATTCTCTTYCAGTACCGCTGATTTYGGGACCACCGCCGCCACCTTCGSTATAAGTACGTGTTGGAATTTTGAAGCTGACTTAGCCATGAATTCAGCTTGCAAAGRGAAAAAAATAAAATGGAATGGTGTGTACCTATAATTATACGTATACGTGTGAGTTATTTATTTTATAACACAGCAAATTCGTACGTATTATTTTGCATTTATGCACCGTGCTATTGCTATTACACATAGGTTATGGGTATTAACATGGTAATATACAATATTTCAGAATACAATAATACGCGGGCCACCTTACGTTTAGTAGCCTACCTAAAACGCCGTGAGATCATTAATTTACAATAAACCTAAATGTATATAATATACAGAAGGTTTTTTTTTTTATTAGACTTAATTTGATAATAGATTGTATATTTTATATAATAAATTATACGCAAATAACCGAAATAATATGCTATAAATAGGCTATGTATATTTCCATTACCTACCTATACGCAACTACATTAATTGTCAACAAACAATTTCATTTATTAGAAAATCAATCATCGATTATTGATTTTACGAATTGCTATCGTTATTATTATTTTGTATACCTATCTATTATTATTTAGATACGAAAAATAGGCTAACCCTAGAAACAATGGTATTTTATACGGTGCCATAAACAGTATAACAAGTTAGGTGGAAAAATATGTTTAGTGCAATTGGCTTATAAATTATAATATGTAGTATTATATTATATATACTTAGGACGTACTAAAAGGAAAATTATAATATAGGGATCTTCAACGCAGTCGTCGTTCCAAAACGCATTAATCGTCGGCAGATGGAGAAAAATCGAATATTAATGGTTCTTTTAAATTTAAAACAATAATAATTGCAAATAGTTCAGCGTATTGTTTATAGGAACACAATTTCTACAGAAGACGATCGAAACAATTACGCTTTCGATGCACAATTGTATTTGAATACAATTTACCTGTTAACCATACAGAAGTGGATTTAATTCTTCATAAAGGTTCAAATGAAGTCGGAAAATCTATATGAAGGACTTTTTGCAAAAATTCATTAGTAGGTAAAACACACTTACGAAATCGTTGGTTTTTATTATCTAATTATGGTAAATAATACTGTCTTTTGTAAAATAAGGTGTATTTATTATTTTATGATGAAAATTTACAAAAATTAACTTTACAATTTAGGGGGCCTCCACTGCTCCAGTATAGATAATATTAGGAGTGGGGCCCCGTCGGCATATGCCAACAAAACTATACCGTTAAATCCACCACTGCAACTAATATACCTAATATATATTATGATTTATGATACAGTAATAATATAATGCGTGGCTTATGCACAATTTATATTTTTTTACGCAACCTTTGTAAAAAATATAGTTTTATGAATTTATTTTTCAATATTTTTTATGTATAGCAATGTATACCTATTATAAGTGTATATAGGTGCCGCTGCCATAATGTTTATAATAACTCAGCATATTTATTCAGTATTCAGTAAAATAGTTTTGTACGTAAACAAAATTGAATATGTAAACTCATATATTATGTTATTAATTTGTGGTTGTATATTATACCTATACCGGATATACCAAAACTGACGCTTATACCAATAAGTAATAACCTAATGTTTTTGAAATATAATAATAATAATAAATAGTTTTTGGTTTTTTTTCCATTTCAGAAAATATAATATTTTATTCGACAGCAGAAACACTGATAAATATTTCGTTCCGTACACACACTGCTGCAGCATATACGGACGTCAGACCGTGACCAATTATTATTACATTGAAGTGCGTGTCGTAATGAAGTTCCAAGCACATTTTTTTTTTTTTTTTGCTGTATTAAACGGTAAATCTAAAATCACTCGTAAAATCATATTATCTATTGTTGTACATTGCAGAAAAATTCAAACGACAATCACAATAATTATTATATAATATTTGGTAGGTACAATTATTGTATGTTACGCGTACCTAATCATCGTTCATCAGTCGGCAGTCAATAATTCATCACATTGATAATATCGACAATCATCAATGACAAAAAATACTCATCTGCAGTGTAGGTACATAATATAACTCGTGATATTTTAACATTTTCAAGCCACAACACACACGTCACATGCAACAGTTTATATATTTTGATATAATATACAGGTATACCCATGTTAACATGTTATTTATATTTTCACGTTCCACAGCGTTTACATAATTATTAAATTCGGACAAACGGAAAGAAAAATTATTTAGGTATACACGTATGAGGTGTAAAACACTCATTATTTATAAAAACTATTTACTTTTTTCAAATTTTTCTTTCAAAATTCTAGATCTCTGCTGTTCTAAAACTATAACAATTTTTAATATTTTTCACCCTTATATTTATTAGGTAAACCATTATCAACTTTTGATTTTTAAATGGCAACCTACATTAAAAATATCATAAATTAATACTCCTATTTTTTTTAAATGAATTTTCACGTTTAAATTTTCATTTTTCGTTAAATCCGTTTACGAGAGATAGTCTCCCAAAGTTGGATGGTTTTGTGGTGGTGTTTGTGTATAAATAATGTGTTATACGTTATACCATGTCAGTACGACAGTACCTACAGGGGCCGCAGCAATAAATTGGGATTTTTGTACTTAGCGTAAAACATAATACACTTTTCAAATAAATTCAGTAAGTAGTAAGTACGATAGTTAAGCCTAAGTTCTTCCCGAAAATAGGTAAACATATTTACACACTACACAGGACAAACACCACCCCAAAAACATCCAACTTTGGGAGAATATATGTCGTCAACGGATTAACGAAAAATGAAAATGTATTAAAAAAATAGCCTTATTAATTTATGATATTTTTAATATAGGTTGCTATTTAAAAATCAAAAGTTAATAGCGGTTTACCTAATAAATATAAGGGTGAAAAATATTTAAAATGTATATAGTTTTAGAACAGCATGTATCTAAAATTTTGAAAAAAAAAAATTGAAAAAAGTAAATACCTAGTTTTTTATAAATAATGAGTGTGTTACGCCTCATGAATCACCCTGTATATACGTCGACCGTCACATCCTCAACACATACGGCGATCACTGACTTGCGGTATAGCGGTATACAGATATAGGCAGGCATATTAATAATGGTCATGGAATACTGAGCACTGCGAATAACGCGAACATCGACCCTTTCGCTCAGATATTAAGCGTATACACTTTAACTTAAATTATGTATATTACTGTAAATATAGGGTGATTCGAATAAAATTAAAATTCTAATTTAAAACGTTTTTAAAAGATCATAACGTTTTTGAAACATAAATGCTTTACGTGATTTGAAAATATTAAAAAATAATATTATTTTTTCAATTTTTTGTCGTTTTAATTTTTCAAGGTTTTTACTTTTTTAAGTGACATCAATCATTATCACCGATCTTATGATCGAAACTTATAGTATTATAATTTTCTGAATTCCGAATATTCTTATTATGCATAAAAATCGAATATYAAACTGATGATGAGTAATCAATTATTTATATTTTATGAGTATTTAAAATAATAAGCTTAGCGAAAGGGGGTTGTTCGGGATTAAAAATAGTCGTGGCCCCCTTTCCCAAGCGTTGGTCCACTACTCGGCTTATCAAAACTTTAAATATGTACTTGTAAWGTTCTAACAAATAGTAACTAGTTCGAAATTCGATTATTATAATAAATCGAAACACTAATAAAAAATATATTTTATTCCGGAATATCAAATTAAAAATATGAGCTGTACTGCTGGCATTCAAAATATTAAAACACTTAACAAGTGATAACGATATAAAATAGTAAAAATATACTGTTTTTTTTTTTTTTCAAAAATGTTGTTTTGTAATGACTGAATGATGTAAAAAATCTCAAAAATCATTCTTACCTACTGTTCTAGATAATAATAGTGTTTACTTGTACTACAAACACCTTGCATATAACAATAAATTTAAACGGACGGCCTACGAATTACGATGGGAACCTGCAGTGTAACGGATACTTAAAACAATCGGAATACGATTTCCTTTGTTAGCTGTACGATAATAAGAGTTMGCTTCCTATTCCTGTATATTATTTCAATTWTTATTATTACAAGGCATAGGAAATTTTCGGAAAACGAAATTAATGCAARATTATTTAGATATAAATTGTAGGTAATACACACATATAGACATATATATATATATAGTGATATGGTCGTATAATATATGA